ATGCCTGAATACACTTCCTGCTCCACAGAGCAAAGGAATCCAATGTCCTTCTTGTGGGACCATACTGCACTCTGAGCACAATCACCAACTACAGTTAGGTGCAAACCATTGGCTCTCTCGTTCTTGGGTTCTTGGATATGCCACAAGTGTGGACATGAGGAACACAATGGTCATTTTAAAAGCAAAATGTATTTTCAGTCACTAATTTCTTGACAGTGGAAAAATAAAAGGCTGCCAGACATGCCACTGGTGAAAGGTATGGTTCAGTATGGGATTGCAGTGAGAGGACTTTTTGTACTAGTACAGCTAGGCTTCAGACTGCACTATGGATGTTAATATGTGTTTATTTAGGTAAATTTGTAACTGCTGAAAATTTTAGCGGTTACATGTTTACACACCGGGAGATCAGCTCCTGTGGAGCCGTCTCCCCTCCCTTCTGTGCTGTTATATTAGAGGTAGCAGTGTGGAAGAGGGGGACAAGTGGAAGCCAGTACTCGTGGGGAGCTGGCTTTTAAGCCAGCTCCCAACATGTACTGGCTCCCCTCTTCCCCCTCCCATGCTGCTGCCTCTGATACAGAGGTATCAGTGCAGTTGGAGGGGGGAACTACACGGGGTGGCTTAAAAACCAGCCCCCATGTGCACCTGCTCCTGCCCCTTCTCTCTCCTCCACCTCCCCAGTGCAGTTTGACTTTGTAGCTTATCGCTCAAAAAGAGGAATCTATTATTCCATTGTTGATATCAATTTATTCCATCTGTTTGTTAATTTATATCCAAACAAAATAAGATTTGGATTTTAAAGAGTTGGCTATAATTTTTACCTATTTCCAACTTTAAAGAATAATGTACTTCCAAATGACTATATATCTCTTTCCATTACAGGCTAGCATTGTCAGTAAAGGTTTGAAATTCTGTACATTCTGATAAACTTAAATTGGCCAATATTGTTGCTTTCTTATTAGTCCAACTGTTACAGGAAATCAGAACTGAAGGAAATACATTCAATTATTATTAAAGTTTCACTTTTGGTTGCTTAGTGCAAATCTTTGTGGTGCTAGGAATGAACTGCAGGATAGATCACCAGCTATGTTATTGTGTGTTTGATTAATTTCCTTTTAATTTTGATTAGTTTATCAGATTTCTCATTATTTCATGTCTACGGGTGTTAAAATAAATATAGGAATGTAGCTTAATTCAAAGACAGTCCATTCCTCTCTTTTTTTCTTGGTGTCTTCAGCATACTCTGGTAGAAATTAGGATTCTAGCTCTAACTGCTGCCATCTGCTGCAGAAGGAAGGCTATTTTGTGTCTCCTAGTTAAGACTAAAAACAGCAAGCAAATGGTCTGGTAGCACTTTACAGACTAACAAAACATGTAGATGGTATCATGAGCTTTCGTGGGCACAGCCCACTTCTTCAGATGACCGGAGTTATGACTAGGGGATAAGAAAACTCTAAATAAATAGAAGGGAAGGGGGAGAGGGAGAGAAAGATGCTCTGTCGCCCACCCCCTACCTCTATACATAAAGTATCAGGAGAAAGGGTGCTAAACCTGAGTAGATAAAGATCAAAGTCAGTGGATAGATTGGTAAGGCAGGAAGAATACCATTCAGAAAGCTGTTAGCACCTTCAGTGATAAAGGGTTATTATTATAAGGTTATTATTGTGGTTTGTATGAAATTAAAAAAAATCTGCTTGCTGACAAACTAGATTTGGCTTCCTAGTTTTAAATATATTTTCTTAGGACTGTTATTATAGTTAGTGTTTTTTCTTATTTAGTTTTATAGTTTATTTTACAAACCATGGGCAAAATCCTGTTTGGCAGAGATGATGGTGCAAAGCTAGACAGGTTATAAACTGTGTGTCTGATGATGGTGCAAAGCTAGACTGGTTGTCACATGTGTCTGGTGTAAGACAGCAACAGTGTTGGCACTGGGTGCCCCACAGAGGTCTGGCTCAATACATCATGAAATACATTTTATTATTTCTTACTGTAATGGCAAAGTTATTGCAGCTAACATGTATATCGGAGGTCTGGCTCAATACACCATGAAATACATTTTATTATTTCTTACTGTAATGGCAAAGTTATTGCAGCTAACATGTATATCATTTTGATGGCAATACGTGCATTTGTCAGATTATGGACAAACTTGATCCTTACAAAAGAGTAAATTTATAATATACTTGAGTGATGTAAAGATTATTCTAGTCTGGTGTTTTTTAATGGTCTGGATCCAACTTCCATTGAAACCATAGAAAATCTCCCATTGAATTTAATAAGCATGGGTTCCAAACTTATATTTTCTCAAATGATTTTATACTTCAGCGTTTTGGCCATCCCTAAGTCTCTGAGCATCTTCTACATAAAATAGATTATCAGTAGTGAAGTCCCTAGAGTCTTTACCTTTTTCTATTTTGAAGTATGAAAAGATTTACCTATGATAGGTGTTTTATTTAGGGGATATTTTGTTTGTTTCTTTTTTGTGTCTTTGTTTTGGTGGAGAGAACAGATTGGGATGTCATTCTGCTTATGACAGGAAAACTTGATCAAATATCTCCTCAAGCAGGCAGTGTTCCCTGTAAAATGTGCTGTTGTGGGGAAGTTCAGGAGAAATTCCACTGCTTCCCAGCTGATTAGCACAGTGCCCATAGTAAGTTTTGTGTTTCTGTTGACAGTGCACATTTGTGCATGCCTCTCTGCTCATAAAATTTTATTCTGTACATGGATGGAAAAGATTAGAGGGAACATTGCAAGCAGAATGACCTGATTTGAGATTTTCAGTTAACAGAAACAGTAAATGCTAATTAGAGATGGATCTGATTTCAAACTCCTGATCCAAAAACCTTAACATTTTGGGGATTTTTGTTTAGCTAACACAATATCTAGAATCTCCAAGGTACCCCTTTTCTATAAAATAGGCTGAACTAACACCCTGAGGTTTAGATCAGACTAAACTAGACTTCGGATAAGATTTTAATTTTGCAGTTCAGAGTTGTCCAAGAAATGTTTGTAATCAAACTTTACAAACTTTTACAGCTGGTTAAAATAAATGTTTTTGGGAGGAACACTGAATAATTTAGTAGACAGGTATATGGTTGGAGAAGAGGTAAGCATCAAGTCTGATGTGAATGACAAAATACTGTACACAGAAGACCTGACTAAATGATAGATGCCTTTTTATTGCAGAACTGTTATTTCTTGCCATAAATATCTAGACAGATAAAAGATGAATAGGACATTTACCTGCCATTTAATCTCGCACAGTTTTACCTCCTCTGCCTAGGGACCTATCCTTTTCAGCAGGCAGGACTGTCACATACTGCAACATTTTGTGAGTGAATCAGGTTATAAAATAGTTCTGGGTGAGTTTCTAAAATGTTTAATTGAATCACGGACAGGAGAACCCCTAAGGGAGAAACTCTAAACATCGCCTATAAGTGAATCCTAAGTAAGGAAGTCTTCATTCCCTTATCAGAGAAATGAGATTTTGCTCACATCTAATCTCTTCCCATGAGGACATCTCAAATGAAGAGGGCATGTGTTCATGAAAAGTAACAGAGAAATAGCCATGTTAGTCTGATCTTGGTAAAACAAACAAAAAAAAACAGTCATGTAACACTTTAAAGACTGACAAGATGGTTTATTAAGTGATGAGCTTTCGTGGGGCAGACCCACTTCTTTAGATCATATTCTGAAAGTGAATAGGCATGACCATTATGTAAATTTCCCTTGCAGCAAACCCCTTTGCCAGCTTTGTCCACATATTTACTCTGGAGGCACCGTCACTGGACCTAACCATGTCAGTTATACGATCAAGGGCTCATATTCCTGTACATCCAGCAATGTGATATATGCCATCATGTGCCAACAATGTCCCTCTGCCATGTATATTGGACAAACTGGTCAGTCACTTTGGCAGAGTGTATTCCTTTGGTTTATATGGTCTTTAAAGTGCTACATAGTTTTTCCTTTTGTTTTAAATCAGACATCTCCACACAAAAGAACCTGGCCATTCCCTTAAAGACCCAACAACATGGCTGCGGCTAGACTGGCAAGTTTTTCCACAAAAGCAGCTGCTTTTGCAGAAAAACTTGCCAACTGTCTACACTGGCCGCTTGAATTTCCGCAAGAACACTGACGATCTCATGTAAGATTGTCAGTGTTCTTGCGGAAATACTATGCTGCTCCTGTTCGGGCAAAAGCCCTCTTGCGCAAATGCATTTGCACAAGAGGGCCAGCGTAGACAACGTGGTATTGTTTTGCGCAAAAAAGCCCCGATCACGAAAATGGCGATCGGGACTTTCTTGCGCAAAATCGCGTCTAGATTGGCATGGATGCTTTTCCGCAAAAAGTGCTTTTGTGGAAAAGCATCCGTGCCAATCTAGACTCTCTTTTCCGCAAATGCTTTTAATGGAAAAACTTTTCCGTTAAAAGCATTTGCAGAAAATCATGCCAGTCTAGATGTAGCCCATGTGTCTTACTACAAAGGGACTTTAACACCAGATTACAGAGAGAAACTTCAGAACTCTTTTTTATGCTAAAATTTGACATGTTGTGAATGGGCCTTAATTTAGATAATAATTACCATACACTTACAAAGACAGCCTCCCCACCTTTTGATATTGGTAGTAACTTCAGATAAGCCACTTAATTGATGCTTACAATAAGCAATTTCCTCCTTCCTTGTCACTCCCCCCCTCTTACCCTCCCCTTTAATGCTATGTATCTGATTCCTTACTGTATATTTTGTTTAGTTTTTATTGTATCCCTCTGCTTTTTGTCGTTTGTGTTCATGAAGGCATCTCTCTGAGCTCTGCTGACTGCAAAGGTCGGGCTGGATTCTAGAGTTCACTAAGAGAGTTATCAAGCAGTAAAAAACGGGGATTGTTCTGGATAAATGACTCTCATTATGACACCCATAGTCATAAGACTGAGTCAGGCTGGAATTCCCTTCCGTTTTGCTTCCCGGCTAGGGTCACTGAGGCAAGCCCCGGGTGCATGCCCCACACGCCCCACAACCGTGTGAACCACCCGCGCGAACCACGCAGCAGAGGGAAGTGAGGGGGAGGCGCGCGAGCAAAAAGGAGAGACGCCCCCCAACTCTCCTCACTGCAGGGCTGGCCAGCCTGACTCGGGAGGCGCGTTCTGAGAGCTGCTGCCCCCGCCTCGCCTGCTGGCTCCAGCTGGGCCGGTGGCGGCGTGGCCCCGGCCGTCACCAGGTAGGCAGCGGGGAACCTCGCGGCCCCTCGGGAGGCAGGGGAGCGGGGAGCGCGCGCAGAGGGGCGAAGAGAACAGGCTGCGCCCGCGGTGCAGTGAGGGTCGGCGCCTGTCGCTTCACCAGCCCGCCCGCGGCTGTGGCCAGGAAGGCGCCGGGGGGAAGGACAGAGGGAGGGGTGGAGGGGAGAGAAAGGACGGACTGGGGGGGGGGCAGACGGGGCTGTGTGGCCCGGACAGAGGGGTGCGACCTGCTCGCTTTTGGAGGGAGACCCGCCCCACCCCCCGACTGACCTTAAAGCCCTTCCCAGTTAGGGGCAGACCCTGCCCCCGCCCCTGAAGCCCCGTCTGCAGGGGAAAGGGCCGGGGCACGGGGCAGGAAGGGCCCTGAGCTCGGGGGGCGAGCTCTCCAGCGGCTTGGGTCGGATTGCGAAAGGAGCATCCCCAACTGCTGCGTGTACACAAAACTGAAAGCGCAACCGAGTGTCGGGAACGGGCGGTGCAGGGTGCTGGCGTCCTCCCGCTGCATGTCCCTGGCCTCCCTCCCCTTCCCACTCCCCCCGGGGAAGGAGGGAAGCTGCGGATCCGATAGGCATTCCCCTGCGTGTTACTGGGTCCTTGACAGTGGTGGGGGTGTTGCCCGACTAGGGCGATACCTGAAGGCTGGATGTAGAATAGTAAAAGAGATGCAGCAGTGTTAGTCTGGTGTAGCTGAAACAAAAAACAGGACTATATGGCACTTTAAAGACTAACTAGATGGGTCTGGCCCACGAAAGCTCATCACCTAATAAACCATCTTGTTAGTCTTTAAAGTGCTGCATAGTCCTGTCTTTTGTTCCTGAAGGCTGGAGTTACTCTTGACCCAAGCTCCCTATGGAAAGTCTCACTATTAATTTATTTGTAACAAATTCTTCAACACCAGTTGGCACTGTT